CTGAGCTGAGAAGGCCATTTTAGTCTCCAGTAATTGTGATGATGACAAGAATATCTCTAGGCTATAAGCTAACTGATGGTAATCAATGCCTTTAAAACATGGATAGTATTTAAATAAGCAGAAGAAACACCAAGTGTGTGTGTATGTATGTGTATATCAACTACTTCTGTTGGTTAAGAGTGTTGTGAAGTATTTACTTCTCATTTATTGCTTGAATTCATTGTGGCTGCCATGTGTGATAAATGGGTTAGTGAACTCTGTGCCCCACCTTATATTGGCATGCACAGAGACAAATTAGTTCTATACTTTGCTTTTTCATTTTACCAAAGAACACATTTCTCTTCCATTTGAATCATGATATCTTTTTCATCAATTCCAGTATAATGTCGGAATGATCTTTACATTCTTTATACATTATATGGCCTTTTTCAGTGTCATATAGCATTTGCTTGATTCTAAGAATATTTATGCTGATTTTAAGATTAGCCAATTATAAAGGTGTTTGGATCAAAACCACCAGACTTTGGAAATGTTCCACAAACAGAACCAATTGATATGAATTCACAGAGGTTGACATAGAGAACCACTGTTACAAGTAAGCAAGCAGTTCTATAATTTAAAACTCTTATCAAACTCTCTGTATCATGAAGAAAATAGAATTTTTAAATTTCAATTGACATTTGAAATGTTTAAAAAATAATTATGATATCTCCTATTTCTAACATCATGCATTTAGACTGATATACAAGTTTTTGTACTGTAAAAAGGGAACAGGCATTTTGTGATACTCTGATTACATCAGAAGTCCACTGGTGTAATTGCAGTTTTTCTGATTCATTTAAGAACTACGCATAATTTTGGATCTTTACAGCAATTGAATCAGTCAAATAATTTATAAACCAAATCAAAACTATTTTTCTTGGTCAAAGAATTTTGCTTATTGTTGTTTCTAGAATCATTTATGAATCCTTATTATACATAACACCTATTTATCACAAAGCTACATAATAAAATAAAAGATCACAAGGATACTGCTTAAGAAGTATGACTACAGGATGCATATAATGTAATGCAAAAAATGCATCTTTCTTTCTTTCTTTCTTTCTTTCTTTCTTTCTTTCTTTCTTTCTTTCTTTCTTTATTTATTATTTATTTATTTATTTATTTATTTATTTATTTATTTATTTATTTA